AATAACATGTAAGTCTATGGAAATTACGTCATGTGTCCGAATACTTTTTGCGCGGGTCTGCATGTCCTTCCTATTCAACACTCACTTTGAAGTCCCCCAAAAATCTAAATATATCACGCACACAAATATACTTCACAGTTTTGTATTCTGTGGGAATTTCCCTGTTTCTTGATAAAATCCACTATTATCTCAGACAAAGCTAAAGTGCTTAAAATAACCTTTCAAAATAGGCTTCATCGCAAATGTCGCCATGTTTGACACAATACGAAATCACGATTCACAGCATTATTTGCTGTACAGTATGTTTTCAAATGTGAAAATCGGATAATTACTGGGAGTATTGAATTTCAAAAATAACATATTAATGATCATTGAAATCAGTTACTTTATTCCAGTAGTATTGCTTCAAACAATACTTTTTTCAACAGTCTCACTTCCAGAGTAAAGATCATTATTTTACATTTACAGATATATTTGTTCACATTAAATGTTTATGTTGACAGTTATAACTAAAAAAATGATTGATAAATTCCTAGACTGTATAGATGTGAATGTAAATGAAGCTGCTACCCATCCAGTTGAACTTATTCAAATGTCTAGAGCGCACTCTCAGAAAATTGATAAACACCATGATCGCAGGAATTCTGTCCATGAACAACCTAAGTGGTTTGACGAAAATGTTCCATATTGAAAAAAATGAAATATGCTAAATTGCAGCTCCTCAGTATAGATAACTGTAAAAAAAAACCTTGATAAGTTTCTTCAGAGTAAAAGGAAGTTTAGAAAAATATGTAAGGAGAAAAAGAGTGATTTCAGCGATTGTAAATCCTTCTCGCACTCGGTAAAAGCCTCATTGAAAACTAAACTCAGAGCAAGTAGCATCACACCAGAAGTTGAGTACCAGTATTTTAAGGGTATGCTAAATCCTGAAACAGAAATCAGTAAATTTGACCAGTCTGTAGAACATTTATTAAAGAACATGATCATATGAATTGTGAAGATTGTAACAATTAAACTATGTTGTCTGTAGACATTACTGGGAATAAGATTATCAATGCTATTGATTCCTTAAAGCAAAATAAGGCTCCCGGCATAGATGGAATTCCATCTAAATTCTACAAAAATTTCTCCTCATCTTATTCCTCATATTCAGTTATCATAAAATTCCATATTAGAAAGTGGTGTATTTTCTGATTCTTGGAATGTAGGAACGATACTTCTATTATTTAAAAAGGGGGATTTAATAGATCCAAATAATTACAGGTCTGTGTCGTTATTGAGTGTCCTTGGTAAAGTTTTTACTTGTGTCATAGGACGTAGACTGAGTGTGTGGTTAGAAGTAAATGATGTTCTCTCTGAAGCACAGGCCGATTTCCGGCAGGGCTATTCTACCACGGATAATATTTATTGTACTTCAGTCATAAGCACAAAAATATCTCAGAAAACCTAAACACCGTTTTTAGGCTGCGTTAACTGACTTCCGCAAGGCATTCGATTCGGTTGATAGAAATAAATTGCTTTATCAACTACTCCAAAATGGTATTCATGGAAAGCTTTATACCATTATCACCGATATATTGTATCACCGATATGTTTGATGCATCAAGTGGATTTAGACAAGGCTGTATGCTAAGTCCTCTTCTTTACAAACCAGCTAGTTCTTGATCCAAAAAAATAGCGATTCTAAAGGCATCTTTGTGGCTGATGATGTTGAAATTATAAAATTACTTCTTTTGGCTGACGACATTGTATTAGTTGCGGATTTTGTTACTGATCTGCAGAGAACGTTGAATGCTTTAGAATTATTTTGCAAAAAATGGGGATTAACTGTAAATATGTAAAAGTATAACATCATTGTTTTTCGTAATGGTGGAAAGCTTAAAAAGGTTGAGAAATGGTATTATAAGGGCAACCAACTAAAAACTGTTGCGTATTATAAGTATTTAGGTGTGATCTTTTCATTACGACTGGGTTTGTCAACAGCCTGTGAAACTCTTGCAAACCAAGCATCAAAAGCTTGTTTTCCTATTTACCAGCTAATCAAATGTTACCCAGATCTTTCGCTGAAGGTTATTGTGTCCATATTTAATACTAAAATTGCACCAATTGCATGTTATGGCAGTGAAATATGGGGTTTTACGTTTCGTGAAAGTACAAGAAAAGTCCAGAGTAACTTCTTCAAACAATATCTTGGTTTAAGTAAAAGATCTTCATCAAGGCGGTTCTCGGTGAACACGGGTTTTACCACCTTTCTGTACATTACATTTGCCGCTGTATAAGATACTGGTGTAGCTTGATTCATATAGACTCGGCACGAAATCCTCATGCCTGATATAACATGCTTAAAGCGCAGGACGAAACTGGCAATGTAAACTGGGTTTCACATATCAGAATGTTGTTTTCAAACTGGCTATTCATATGCTTGGATTTATCAAGAATGTGGACATGTATCGCACTTCATGACTTTGTTTAAACAGACATGTTATTGATTTAGATATTCAATCTTGGTATAGGAAAGTGGAGTCATCTTCATTTCTCAAAACGTATTCTTCTTATAAAACTGTTTTTGAACAAGAAAAGTATTTAAGTGCTGATATTGATAGAGATTTGCAAAGTTTAGATGTCTGTCACATAGTCTGAAAATTCAGAAAGTGCGTTTTAATAAATACATTGCTCATTCTGATTTAGAATGTGAGTGCTGTAATTTAGGAGCTATTGAGGATGAGTTTCATTTTCTTCTCGTTTGTCCTTTCTTTAAGGAATGTCGAACAAATCTCATACCAAATGTTTTTCGTCATTATCCAACACAGCAAAAGTTTGTTCAACTCATGTCTTGCACAAATGTAAAGATAATCAAAGATTTAGCCATATACTTGAAAGGAAACATGTATGTTTGTAGTTGAGCTCCGACACCAAATGTACATTTATATCCATATTTTTTAATATGGATGAATTACTTTGTATTTGTACACTGGGCCACGCGGCCTCCAATACTGAATAAACTCTCTCTCTGCCCATCAAAAAATATTTCAAATGATAACATTCCTTCTTTGCAATGAGAAATAATGCACAACAATACCATATGAATGTTTTCCGTGCACAGGGCATGGAATGACCAGCCGTTTATAGAACCGGGTCCAATCTACCACCCGTCGATGTGAAGGAAGGGTCGAAGTGGTGTGTTGGGCAAACGGAACACGGTTCCAGGCTTATCTGGCCCCAACCACCAGAATCCACGATCGACACGGCAAACGGGTTGCTCAATTCGGTCGCCTTTTACGACCAGTAATGGGTGTTGTGAACCTATTCTTCCCGTGTGGAAAGAGCTGTTAGCGTTACCCAACAATCGCCACGAGGAGGTTGCACTTCACGAGTGCCAGGATCAAAACGAGACCCCTTGACTTCCTTGACGGAGACAAACTTTGGATCCTACAATGGATGTGATCAGATCCGTAACCATACTTTTGGCAAGTGTAACACCTTAAGGGATTAGAGATAAATGTATTTACCCTGAGGTTACAATAACCAGCTTTCATTGATTGTGGATGTATTGGAAGACAGAAACTTAATAGATAGGTGTTCGTTATTCTTGACAGTAAAACGTTTGACATCCGTTACTCCTTGTCATGTCCTCAGGACTGTAACTCTTGTCAGTTTCGGTCATGTCTGAAAGGCACCGTCCAATATCACGGACAATGCCTATACTGCTGTTTAATTTCCTGTGTGAAGAGACCTTCACAGGGACATTAAGGGAAGTCATTTGGTCGAGAGTAGAATTTGGGATTGGATCTGTTTTTCACATACGATCAGTAGAGAACCAGATCTTAGTTTTGTAACCCCATTTACTTCGCCTGCTTAACCTTCAATGCCCTTTGCTATGGCAAATGGATTCAGTTTCAGAGGGCCATTATTCACAGAAGACGTGATAAGAAAACGAGATTGATTGTCAGGGTTGATGAAAGCTGTAAGAGCCTCATTCTCCGAAGAGAGCGAATCACCAGACTGGTGTGATCGTGTTTTAGTTGAGGTGCGATGATTGCATTGATTCCTAGCTTCCATGGCACATTACAATAATTGTTTCATTCTTAAAAGCCCCTTGTACACAGGTCGGCGACCGCTCTGCGTTTTAAACAATTTCAGAACGCCACTGAACGCTCAAAGGATGCACGACGAACGCAGAGACAAGGCAGAGCCATCGCCATGAAGGCAGAAGGAAGGCAGAGCCAACGTCAAGAACGGCTCAGAACGCCACTGTAGTGGCGACTGTATTGAACATGCTCAAAACAAACGCAAAGCGGTCGCCGTCATGGTGGATTGATAACAGGACGCAGAGGAAAGGCAGAGCGAAGGCAGAGCCATCTCCGAGGTCACAGAGTGAAGGCACAACGGTCGGCGAACGGACGCCACATAAAAACTTCGTAAACTGCGGCGTTGCCTCTGCCTTCATTGTGCGTCCGTCGAGCATCCATTGGCGTTCGTTGAGCATTCACTCTGCCTTCATTCAGCGACTAGCGCATCCCTTTGAACAACCACGGCGTTCCCTCGGCCTTTACTCTGCCTTTCCAGATTACATATAAATAGGTCTTGTACTGCCGATTTCCAAGGTATTTGAGGACTGCCGAGCTTAACATGCCTCCAAGAAGGTATGCTACTAGACGAAAGGCCAAAACCCAAAAAGAGTGCCTCAAGAATTACCGAAAACATTGGTCAACAGGAAAATGTTACTGCTGTCAATGTTTTTAAAGATATGAACAAAATTAAAGACAAACAATATGCACACATTGATACTTTATTTGGAAATCCAGATATCCATAATGAACTCATAATTTAATGTAGAGTAATGATAGCAATATGAACATCATCAAACAATTCCATCCGCATAGCAATTCAGTACAATACACACCACTTCAAATCATACGGTCCTGCCATGGAACTGATCCAGCTGCATTGTTGAAATAGAACTTCAGATACTCTCGCAACTGTTTTCCTGCTCATGTGTCTCAGTTTGGTCCAACTACTTGTGCAACATCGTGCTTATTTGCTGGTTGTCTCCATTCTCCAGGTATGAGGTCGTGGTTTTCGTCTTCAGTGTCAAGTGCAGCATTCTGTAGCTTTGGATATCGGTCTTGCATTGTATTGTGAAGACAAATGCATGCTTCAATCACATCCAGGACTGAATTAGGCATCAGCTGCATCGTTGAAAGTAGAACTTGAAATCGCTGAGCCAGAATGCCAAACGCATTTTCAACTACTCTTCTTCCACGAGCAATACAATAGTTCAAGATCCGTTGCTCCTTGGTGAGTGCCCTGATTGAATATGGCTTCATCATGTGGAGTTCTGAGGGCAATGCATCATCCCCGAGTAGGAAGAATAGTATGTCACGGTCATCATTCGGCAATGACCCAGGAGTTGGAAAGTTTATTGTGCCATCTTCGAGGCAGGTCTTCAGTTCAGATTCATTGAAAATCCGTCTGTCTGACATCGTTCCAACATCAGCAACATCACACCATAAAAATTTATAATTTGCATCCACTAATGCAAGAAGGACAAGAGAGAAAAATCCCTTATAGTTGTGGTAGAGACTACCTGTGTTTGGTGGACAATGCGCAGCTATATGTTTCCCATCAATAGCTCCACGTGCATGGGGTTAATTCCAACGTCTCTGAAAGTCATCTGCAACAGCTTTCCACTCTTGGGAGTTCCTTCGGCATTTGACAACTTCCTTCTTATATTCATCTCTGATAGTTCTGCAAACTTCAGGCACAAAAATGGAGATCGTGCTGCGCGACACACGATACTGGTACTGGAGGCTTGGGTATTTGTCTCCAGTTGCAAGGAACCTGAGGGTTATAGCAAGTTTCAAACCAGGCTCTAAACTCGCTCGCCAATTCGTGTTCTGTTTGGCGATTCTTGGGCCAACCCGTTGGAGGAGTTCGTCAAAAAGGGCTGGCTCCATTCTCAGATAATTGTAGAATGACCCTTCATCTTCTAGACGCAGTTTTTGCATTAGTTGGTTGTAGTCCCCGAATTGCAAGCGTCTGTGTTGCATCAACCATGGGCAGACCCACAGGGTTCTCAATCTTCTTCTTCTACGTCTATTCATCCTTCTATTTAAGATGGCAATGGCTATCTGGTTGAAAAACAATGCCTGTTGACCTTGCAAAAACGCTATTTGCAAACGCAGTTCATTGTTCATGCTTACTGAAGTCATTTTACGATGATTTCACTTAGCCTGCTCGTATGAAACTAATGATAAAATGTCGTAGCCATGTACTTATATGCCTAGAGCATGCAGGTTGCCGAACAGTCGCCACAGAAAGCAGAGAGAAGGCAGAGTGAACGCCAATGAATGCACAAGGAAGGTACAACGGTCGGCGAGAACGCAGAACGGACGCCGTTATTTGCATATGATGGTACAGAGAAGGCAGAGGGAAGGCAGAGAGGACGCCTAGGACGCTCAAAGAACCCCACTGAAATGTCAAAAATTGGCAGCTTAGGTCGTACAAGTAAGGCACAAGGGACGCCAGAGCAGTTACACTGAAACATAGGTTTGGCGACCGTTGTGCGTCCTGGTAATTTTTAGAACGCAGAGAGAAGGCAGAGCGGTCGCCGTCCTGTGTAATGGGGCCTTACCAAAAATGAAGTAATGTTGCATATCGACGCCAAGCCTAACAGACAGTTTACATTGCAAAGATTCGGATGTTTGGTTCATGGTATAGACGTGTCGTTCCATCATGTGTGGTTTTGATTCCCAAGGAGGAGATTCCCAAATCCCAGAGTACAAAGCTATGTAAATGAGTAAATTGTGTATTATATGTTTGGAGTATATATTGTGTATATTTTGTGGTATGTTTTTTATGTATTGAAATTGGAAAATAATATCATGAATTTCTCTTCAATTGTTGTTGATTATTTTCTTTATCCTTGATCGGAACGTGTAAAAGAAGCTGAAGCTCATGATAACGAGCTCATGATATCAAACCAAAGAAAAAGATCAAGGGCAATAACTGGAACTGTTATCTAATAGATTGGCAACAAACAGAATGTGACACGTTTGTGTGTATTCATGTCACATATGCCTCATTACCTTTATGGATGCAATGATACTGCCCATTGATTGAGCATATTACTACAAGGTGAATGCGATCTCAGAACTCATATTTAGACACACTTATGTTTATTCATTAGATATGTCACATATGCCCCAGCACCTTTAGTTGTACTCTCAAAACATGTATGTGACGCTAGTAAATACACAAAGAGTACACGGTGATGTGTATGGCGATATATATTTAGAGTATGTATTTCATGGTGCCATATGGGGCGGTGGGGTTGCCTAGTGGTTAAAGCGTTGGCTCGTCACGCCGAAGACCCAGGTTCGATTCCCAACATGGATACAATGTGTGAAGCCCATTTCTGGTGTCCCCCGCCGCGATATTGCTGGAATATTGCTAAAAAGCGGCGTAAAACCCAACTTGCTCGCTCGCTCTTTGAGTAGCATTTTAGAAGTTGCGAAGTACAATATTGAGCAAATTCCTTTATTTCGACACAGAATCCTGACATGGCTATCATTGTTGTATGTTTACAACAAAATATTTTAACGATGCCAATTTATTCAACAAAAAACACAATTATCTGCTGATTTGCTTACTGGTAAGAGTGACGTGTTGGAGAGAACATCAAAATATGACTGTTGAAAGATTCCATGCCAGTATGTCTGAAAAATGAGGACATTCAACTGAAAATACGCTACTTTGAAATGTTAATACTACACTGACAGTATTCAAATGAAAAATAGATCATATAACAGGCTGTCCTATGTTTAATATATTTGATTACAATGACGCCGAAAAACACATGTGAGACAGGGAGTTCTCGGTTTCAGGCACCTGTATACTTGAATTTGCGGAAGTAGCTGAACTGTTTCAGGAACCTTGATTCTGTGAGGCATTTTAGTTTTACACCACACTCGGCAATATTCCAACTCGATGGCGGCCGTCTATAAATAATCGAGTCTGGACCACCAAACAATCCAGTGATCAACAGCATGAGACTCGGTCTACGCAATTGGGATACGATGACATTTGTCAAGCAAGTCAGCGAGCCTGACCACACGATCTCGTTAGTCACCTCTTTCCACAAGCATGAGTTACTGAAGATCAATTCTAACCCGGATCTTCACGGGTCGACAACCTTAAGAAGGGAGTCCATTTATGTGCTGTTTAGTCAAGGCATGGTCGTCCTTTGTCTTCTGTCGGGTTCATAGGGGAATGTGAGCCCTTTCCTTCAGTGTGTCCTCCTGCAATGTGCCATTCGTGGGTGTTGCACACATTGTACAGGACTCTAATCCACATTTTCTGTGGACAAGAAAAACATTCGTAACATCAATGCATTCATTATCAGCTTAGATTGTTAGTGGCTGTATCCTCAAAGGGGGTTGAAGTAGCGTAAAATTATTGTCCTCCTGAGAGGGTACGTAAGTCCCAAAACTTTCAATGTCAATTCAAACTTACCAGGATGTTTAAACGTAGTATTTTTGTTATTTTAATTTTGGCTAACATTTCTTACAATCGCCAACAGCTGAAGGGATGGCGTAAATCCAACTAGGGTCCATACAGGTAGCAAAGGTACTGTAAGTCCCCATGGTCCCTAGTATGGTGATCTACCTTCAGTTGTTGGCGATCTATAGCCTGTTTTTATATTGTATTGTCCTAATAGTGCTATCAGTTTTAACTTTCCACACTAGTTTAGTTGTAATTGTGATATTCTGTGACGTTAAATTATAACTCACTCACTCACTCACTCACTCAATGCATTCACTGAATCAAATGACCCAATAAAGTATTCGATGAATTTGATTAATAATGTTATCTCAGGATTCCAAATTATTTTGCAACCTCGTAGAATGAGTGAGTGACAATATTTCAGCCATATTGTGACTAAATCAAGTTAGTACATAGGAGAAAGCTCATTCACTAAGAATTCGAAATCCAAGGTTAAAGTTCACCTGCAACCAAAAAATCAACCATAATTAAAACACAATTATCACTTATTCATGACATATAATATACATTGCTGATTATGAAAAAACATATAAACAAAATTATAAGCGTTCAATCGCAAATCAAAAGTGAAATATTTTGTACCTGGGTTTACTTCCCTCGAAACGAAGCATCCGGGATATCGAACCCAGTCAGAGCGGGTAGGTGTGCACTCAATTGTAACGGAGCCTTTAATTGGCTGGTTCATTTGCCGATGCCCTCACGGCTCATTGTGTGTGTGTTTTTAGAGATGTTGGGTTTTGTATATAAATGCTCATTTTTGTGCATAACAGTTGCAATCAACAGACATCATAACATGTCATGTGTACAAGTATCACACCTGCCTGTCTGTGTAATTACATAATGTGACTGTAGTGGTTAGAGCGTCCGCCCGGAGAGCGGAAGGTCACGGGTTCGATCCTAGGCCGCGTCATACCAAAAGACGTTAAAATATGGTACTTGTTGGTCCCTGCGGGGGCTCGGCATTAATGGGTACAACAAGGACTGGTCGGCTCGGAGTCAGTATAATGTGTCTGAGTGGGGTATTCATGCTTCACTGCGGCATGGTATCTCAGTGGGCTAGCACTATAAAACCAGCTTAAGTCTGGGCTAGTACAAGCAGCCGCACATACACATACACACGCATGCACGTCGTCATATGAGCGAAATATTCTCAAGCGCGACGTAAAACCCAATTTCACCTCACCTCACCTCACAATGTGACAGAGACCGAACTCGGGTGCACGAGCCATAAATCAATGCCTTTTGTTTATGGTGTATAGCCTGATAGGTGTTCAAATTGCATGTGGTCAGTGATTGAAGTTGTGTATTGCATATTGGCATTAGCAGACAGGCAGGCGGACACATAGGTGTCAATAAAAGATACAATGAGTTTTGTCTGTGATAAAAAACATATCTATATCCCAGTTAGAAATTCTGTCAATGCTAAATAATGACATTGCTTTTAAGTATCGAACTGAGAAAGTGACTCGGTAAGAAGAACGTGTGGTGAAATAGACAAATGAAATCATATAAACAGTTAAATCGGTAATCTACTGGCATAACATATAAAAAGTTTGCGCCTGTGAAATATCAACGAAGATTAGAAAAATAGCTCACATCAAAGCCCACCCCGAGTACTCACCGCCAGCGAAGGTTTTCCGTCTTGAATTGTCCAACGCCTCACTGGTTGACACATAGCCGAGTAGATCTAGATCCTTAACAACATTGTTTGTGTAAGCAACCTAGATTATTAGACTACTCCTCCTCACGACCTTATAATCAGGACACCCCGCTTCCAAGCTGCGCGAACCTATTCACTGCGCGGCGCAGCACAGCTGATAAAACCACATTTCACCCCAAGCTGGGGTGAATTTAGTGAATCGTTTGAACTCATCTCGCGGGGGTTTTTTCAGCGCGTTATTTTTCATATTTATAAGCT